TAATAATATATTTAATACGGGAGTTACCTATTTAGGTTGAGAGAATACATTCCATAAATTCCCTCAATCTATTTATTTCCTCCCATAACTTCCCTCAACCCAATTAATTAAGAGATGAATAATTCTCCATTATTCCCTCCTTAATTGGAAAATGAATGTTACGAGAAAGGAAAATCTATTTAAGCTAAATGGAGGACACAAATAAGGTAACTCTTCCTCACTCGAAAAAAAAAGTCTCAAAAATTACTCTCTCTCTCTCCCTCTCTCTCTCTCTCTCTCTCTTGCCAAAATCATCCCCTACTCTCATATTCGTGGCTGACCAGCTTAGGCTGTCGCCACCTCTCTTACCTACTCAGCTCCCAAGCCACATATCTCTCCCGTAGAGAAATATCTCCACTTTCAGTATTATATGCATTTTCCGAGACCATATTACTGACTTAGGCATCAAAGGACCCTTAGCCACCACCACACCAGTGGTTCTCCGTTGACCGCCATTTGTCTTGCATGGAATCTAGCATAAGAACGTACGAGAGAGAAGATTCATCTGCGAATATTCTCCCATGAGGAATTTTCACAAACACCAACTTTGTCATTTGGAGATTTTTTTTGGGTATAAAATCATCAATTTTTGGATGAAAAATCAATGAAAAGGTGTTATGTGAAAACAATTTAAAACCTCGGGGGGTGTTCTTGTAGTTTCTAAAACCTCAAGGAGTTTTGTGTAAAAGCCGAAAACCTCAGGAGGTGTTAGTGTAAATAATTCAAATTTGAACCTTATAGGAACTCTATGTGTTACTAAGTCACTCATGTGTCTTACCATGCAATGTAAAAAATGTAAAATATTGTAGTAAATCATTATAAATAAATTATTATGATGTGTTTAATCTTCTTTTATTAATTACTACATATTTTCTACACTCACAATGTTTGTCAGCTTGCTATATAATCAATTTAAATCAGTTAAACCCGTCACGCAATGCATTTCCTTCCTTCTTTTTTTTTTGTTTGTGATAGAGTAATAGATAATTGACTAAATAAACACCATCCAAAGTTTCAAGAAAAATTTCCAAGTTTTTCTTACAATTTCTGTGGTTTTTATTCAATTTTTATTGATATTGATAATATCCCGATATTTCCATCAAAATTTCCATATTTTTGGACTACTGATATTTTCACTCTCTCTCTCTCTCTCTCTTGCCAAAATCGTCCCCTACTCTCATATTTGTGGCTGACCAGCTTAGGCTGTCGCCACCTCTCTTACCTACTTAGCTCCCAAGCCACATATCTCTCCCGTAGATAAATATCTCCATCCTTTCAGTATTATATGCATCTTCCGAGACCATATTACTGACTTAGGCATCAAAGGACCCTTAGCCACCACCACACCATTGGTTCTCCGTTGACCGCCATTTGTCTTGCATGGAATCTAGCATAAGAACGTTCGAGAGAGAAGATTCATCCGCGAATATTCTCCCATGAGGAATTTTCACAAACACCAACTTTGTCATTTGGAGATTTTTTTTTTTTGGTATAAAATCATCAATTTTTGGATGAAAAATCAATGAAAAGGTGTTATGTGAAAACAATTTAAAACCTCAGGGGGTGTTCTTGTAGTTTCTAAAACCTCAAAGAGTTTTGTGAAAAAGCCGAAAACCTCAGGAGGTGATAGTGTAAATAACTCAAATTTGAACCTTATAGGAACTCTATGTGGTACTAAGTCACTCATGTGTCTTACCATGCAATGTAAAAAATGTAAAATATTGTAGTAAATCATTATAAATAAATTATTATAATGTGTTTAATCTTCTTTCATTAATTACTACATATTTTCTACACTCACAATGTTTGTCAGCTCGCTATATAATCAATTTAAATCAGTTAAACCCGTCATGCAATGCATTTCCTTCCAATTTTTTTTTGTGATAGAGTAATAGATAATTGACTAAATAAACACCATCCAAAGTTTCAAGAAAAATTTCCGAGTTTTTCTTACAATTTCCGTGGTTTTTATTCAATTTTTATTGATATTGATAATATCCCGATATTTCCATCAAAATTTCCATATTTTTGGACTACTGATATTTTCAAAACCATCGATATTTTAGACCTTAACTCATGTGGTGGTGGAGTGTTTTTGGTTAGCTGTACCAATTTTTCCGAACATTAATAACCCATGGTGTTGATTTCCACGTATTTTCTATCTAAATACTTATGAAGGAATCTAGATCCTATGTCCCCAAAATGCTTGTGCCCTCCTCGTCCCCTTGATCTTGCTCCAAATTCTGTCAATGTGCATATTGATAATTTGTCGATACCTTATTGTCGTCAATAAAAAGTACAGACGTGTTTTTGATAAATTTTTGTCAATATCAATATCGACAATCTGGCCTTTAATTAAAGACGGGATATCCTGCACATCGATGTGCACAAACGAGTTTTCAATACATTTTTGCCAATATCAATGTGCACATCGACAATCTGGGCTTTAATTAATGACGGGATATCCTGCACAGAGGATTTTTGTCTCTTATAAATATGAGTTTTTATTTACAGACCCAAAAGGAGGAAAAAAAATTAAGTTATGTTTAAGCACAATTAAATAGTGAATCATCAAAATGCAGATTACATCCAGTTGTCCAATGAAAAGCATGGCTGAAGAAGTAATATATACAATACAAGAGGGCCAATCACTCATGGGAAACCAAAACTACTTGTTTTCCAACATTTCTGCCACTAAAAAGTCCCACAAGGGCTGCTGGAGCACTCTCAAGGCCTTGAGTTATGTCATCCAGATATACTATCTTTCCTTCTCTGATGTATGGTAAGACCATGTCCAAGAAATTGGGATACAGATGGAAATAATCGAAAACAACAAAGCCTTCTATACGGATCCGATTGTAGATTAGAGACAGAAGATTGCTAAAGCCTTGTGGCTGGTTGAGATTGTAATGTGAGATCAATCCACACACAGAAATTTGACCATGAGGTCTCATGTTAAGAAGCACAGCATCCAGCATTTTTCCTCCAACATTCTCGAAATAAATGTCAATGCCTTCAGGGAAATGCCTGCATGTGACAATATTTTGATTGATGATTTTGTCTATTCAATTTCTGATATGTATTGTAAACTTCTTCCAAATCCAACATTATATATATATATATATACACGCACACACATATAGTTATATAACTGACCTTTTCAAAGCAGCATCAAGGTCTTGCTCTTCTTTGTAATTAAAAGCCTCATCAAACCCTAGCTTGTTCTTTAGTAGATCGACCTGAAAACATAAAGGGAAAATGTATATATCTATGTATGTGCACTTGGTCCTTTTTTGCTTACAACAAGACTTGTACAAAATTTGGCCCTCCCTATGCTTTAATGCTTACATTATTATTATTTTTCTTTTCTAAACGATAATGCTAACTCACCTTCTCTTTACTTCCAACACTTCCAACAACATAACACCCCATCAACTTTGCAAATTGCCCAACAAGCTGGCCAACTGCACCAGCTGCTGCAGAAATGAACACACGATCTCCTTTCTTAGGTGAACAGACTTCATGAAAGCCGGCAAAGGCAGTCATACCCGGCATACCTAATTTCCAAAATAAAATGATTACAACTAAAGAAAAGAATATTTTGATTGTACAAACTTATGACTCATAGCTTCATGAAATGAGCAACAGCAAACATACCAAGAAGGCCAGTGTAGTAGGACAGGGGCACATCAGTGTGGTGGATTTTAAAGAAGTGTTCTGGTTCTGTGATGAGACTATACTCTTCCCATCCTGTTGTTCCCCAAACCAAGTCACCTTCCTTGAATTCTGGGTGCCCAGAATCCAAAACTTTAGCCACTCCAAACCCGCTTAGTGGCTGCAGGATCGCCAATCAAATTAATACTGCAATAAGTTGTCTTTTGGAAAGAAAAAAAATTGAATTATTTATTTTAAAACTTGGCATTTAATGAGTTTAGTTCTTCACAAGTACTTGAGCAAGATAAGTTGATTGAATTTGAACCCTCTAAAATATTGCAATGTTCTATTCTGAGTACTATGATTACATGAACTAGAATCAGGGAATAAAAACGTCATGGATACTCCTACTTTTCTAGGGAACCGAACAGAAAATCAAGAAAGCCGAGAGAGAGAGAGAGAGTGCTCACAGAACCAGGAGTGAAGGAAGTGAAGACATTAGAGCCTTGAATTCTATCCATTCGGATCCTCAAATAAGGGTCACATGACAAGTAGAGGTTCTTGAGCAGCACTGCTTTTAAGCCTTGAGGAACCTTGAGCTTTATGGAACTGGTTGTCACGTACATGTCTGACTCTTTGGGATTGCCAGATACATAGTCCTTCAATATCACCTGCTTGTTCCTAACTTCCTCCACGCCACTCGCCATTGCTGAACCAACCAAAGCTCTGTCTATGTCCGCCTCAGTTCCTCTGTTTCTTTGAATAGAATATGCTTATCAAGTTTGCCTTTTCAACAGTTGCTGAATGGTCTTATATGATGACACGTGTATGAATCTATGACTTCCATTTCCATTTATACTCTAAGAAAGCAACGGCCTGGTTTTCACGATAGAGTCAAAGAAGAAACTAGAGCTGTCTAAGAAAGGTCGATGCTCTTGTAATTATTTACTTTGGGTCGTTTTGATTCTGAAATGACTAAAAGCGCTTCTTTTCTTTTTTTTATAACTAAAAACATTTATAACAATATTTGACAGAAAAACTTAAAAGTGACTTTGAGCCATTCCAATTGACTTTTCATGAAATACTTGAATTCTAATAGAAGTACTTCTAAAAAAAACATTTATGACCATAAATATTTTCTACATAAGCAATCCTAAACAGGGGCATTGATACCCCTCTTGTTAAAAGAAAAGTGTGTATGCGTCTGCAAAAGTCACTCCTTTCATTGCACAAATAGAGCCCTCAAGTTCCACAGAAAGGTTGTCATGCATGAGTGGCTACGTCTTTCTTTGTTTATGTATTTGAAATACAGAGACCCACAGAAGATGTGGTAGATGGGATTTGAAATGTATAGAACAAGATTACAAGGCAGTCTTAGTCTGCTACATACAAATGATGCCCTAGGAATTTGTTCATCTCACTTGTTTGTTACAGGATGAATGTAGGAAAGAAAAACAATCTTTCATAAACATCAATGCTTCTGTTTTTCTATTGAAATGCTAGAAAACAGCAAATATTTACATCATTGTTGAACACTGTACAGTGGAATGTGCATCTCAAACAACATACACATATATATCCTGAATTTGAATCTCTGTAATGCTCCTGCTTGTTTAGTTTCACTGTACATTTCTTTTTCTCACAACTCACTAGCGATCCAACAAATCTAACTGTGGACAGCAATTTGATTTAGAAGAGTAACATAATAACTTCAGGCAGACAATTTGACAGAGAGGGCTCAATGTGGAAACGGCAAAACGACAGAAACAGTATTACAACTCCCACCTTGAAAGTTCTAGAGACAAATTTTGGTTTTTTTCTTGCTGTTTGGTTTGTAGAGGTTCTGTCATCATACCATCCTCCAGACATTGGGGCTATAAAAGTCATAGTGAATTGGGACAGGAGGTTAATTGCTCAACTGATCAAATTACTGTCCAGCTCTACAATTTACCAACCAAAAAAAATTTCGTGGAAAACTTGGAACACTAATTACACATTTTACCACCTTACATGGTAAAAAAAACATGCAAAAAAAAAAGGGATCAAATTGGCATTACCTTCGAGAAGCAAAAGCAACTTGAATACACTAAAGTAAACTTATGCTTCACCAGAGTCTTGGGCTCCCTCAATTGTGTTCTCTTCAAACAATGGCTTTTTTGTGGCTCTATCAACTGTGGAGACTTCTTCCTTACCATCTTCATTAAACTTGTCTGAATTGCTAATGAAGATCCCTGAAAATGTAATACAAGCTTATTAACATCACCACTGTTTAGAAAGATTCTCGCTCACATAATAATACCAGTTTGAACAAGTTATTATAGCTAATTGTCCTTCACTAACCTATGAACCATATTCCTGATGCAAAAAACAGAACAGACGTCACAACAAGAGTTGTTACCCTCCAATTGTTAACATGGTCCTGCATATGAAAAGGACAAAATCCAAAATAGGAAAAAGGAACAAGGTAAGGATGCTAAACCGACAAGACTTTATATGAAAATTCACCCCAAGGCCGAACAGTGGAGGAACCATAAGTGAACTTTATAACAACTAACATAAAAGAATGATATTACACAGTAGACAAAAACCAATTAGATGATGTAGTTATTCTTGTTATTAAGTGACAATAAGAGGTATGTTTGAAGATGGAAACCATGCGATCCTACAACATAAATAGCTGCCATTCCTTTTCAGTCTAGAAAAGATAATGTTGAAACAATAGAGTTAGACACAACAAACCCTCCACCCTCATTTGTTAAAACAAATAAGGGGTTCAATTAACTTTATCATCCCCTCTCCATGAAACTGCATTTAAGTCATACTATGTGATTTTAAATTGGTACAGATATTCTTCTCTAAGTGAACAAACAAGCCTCGTTTTCTAAATCTGCTCATCTTTAGCTTCATAAATTCATTTACTATATTTCGATAAAAAAAATCATTAACTATATGATCTCAATATAATTTTGCTCTAGCATGCACAAGCCGAATCACAAAGTTCACTTTCAGCATCCACACTTCTATTCATGTACCACGATGAAGTTGCAGCACTTTTCTGCCCATTCATTCCAATTTATTGGAATATTCATTTATGTCTTCAGCATCCACACTTCTATTCATGTACCACGATGAAGTTGCAGCACTTTTCTGCCCATTCATTCCAATTTATTGGAATATTAATTTATGTCGTATGATATGAGCTATTTTGTTAGAAACCCCAACAGTAACTTCTTTATTATACTGATAATCAATGTCATTCTCTTGCTGCCAGTATAATGTCTGGAAACTGCTTTTCCAAATACCAACAGTATAGTAGAAATGATCATATCAACTAAATATTAGCAGTAATCTCCACTTCCTCAAAATATGATACAGAAGAGAACTTTGAAGGCACACCTGGAGGATTCCAGCAAGAGGTGAGGAAGGAACATCACCAAAGATGTGGATTGAAACAGTTGAGACAGCCATAGACAATGGCCTAAGACTTGGTTTCACGCATCGCAGAGACACATAATTAACCGGAGCCTGCCAAGGAAAAGTGATTAACAGGCCAAAGAATATATCAATTAATCGGGCAGATTTCATACAATGCAGCAAAAGTATCCAAAAAGGTAATATCAAATTGTAATAGTATGTTATATTAATTATGTATCAGAGAGCACCAATCATCATATCTGCTGAGACCAACTACATATGTCTACGTATGAGTGGGTTTGCATGCCTGCTGGTGCTAATGTACATACTCAAAAGGTAAATTATGGCGTTATGCATACATGCTCATGAGGATTTAAAAAAAGGCAAAATTTCAATTACAAGATCATAGTCATCAGCTACAAATCCACTCCTTATTTTTTTAAGCAGACTATTACACATGAAAGTTTAGCAAGCACAGCACGCAATGAAACCACCAACTTTCAACCCAACTCGTAGAATTTAAGATTACCTGTGTGGCAAACACAAGTAGCTCCCCCATTGAGAAAAGAACTACAAAAAAATACAAGCTCCTTACACAGAAGGCACTGAAGCAAAAGATTGCACCTAGAATTGTTGCTCCAGAGAGAAGCTGTGGAAGAAGCAAAGGGTTTCAACAGTACATTCTGATAAATCTTATTAAAGAAGGCATTTTGGTGTCATACCCCCAGGTCACAAGCAGAACTCACCTTAAAAGCATTATTAATTGTGGCATTCACTGAATCAAGGATGAGCCCTCCAGCTAACGTCCCCAGAATTCCACAAACAATTGTAATACCACCAAACAACAAATCTGGATTACTCTGTCAAAAGTTCCAATGAAGGAGAATACTGTCAGAGTAGTTAAGAATATTTTTTTTATTCAAGAATTTTTAGAATATTATTTTCTTTATGTTAGACTATAGTATTATAATCTGTATTATAATATAACTAGTAAACGCATTGCTAAGGTGAAGAGCTGATCACATAAGCATAACCTATTCGGCTATTTTTAATCTCCCTTTCTCTTCTACTTATTCTTCTCTCTATTCACTCTCTAATCCTGCAATACACAATTTAACTATCAATGAGCCAAAGTAAAAGATCACCAATATACCAAAATGCTTGATACTGAAGGTCAAAATTTCAGTTTCCTTATAACAAGTTACGATGACTTGCATTGAAGAAAAGGTAAATGTGTAACCAAACAAAAGGGAAACATTACAAATAAATAAAATAAAATAAAAAAGAATAAGCAAAGAGCTATACCATACGATAAATGCTATAACCAGCCTTTGGCCCCCAGTATGAGTAGGCTCCAATGACAAAGTTGTATGACACATAACCTGCCAGTCAATTATATTGTGAACGAAATAATTATAAAAACACCTGTAAATATAATAAATAGTAACCTTAGTAAGCATTCCATGAGAAATTTCTCCAATTAAATTAGTAAGGCAATAAGATTGCAAAAACTAACACAGATAGATATGTGAAAACATAATCAAGATCAATAAGACGTAAGGATCATTGAATTGATATTTCATTTATTTACATTCAGATAAAGATCTGAAAAACTTGAACAGACAACTAGAGATTAAGGAAATACCTAAAATATTAACAACATAAACTTTATCACGCAAAAGTTCTTTCATATCTTTTGAGAATCTTGAGAGTTGGTTCAAAGATTTGGATGCAGGGCTTGACCTGAAATACACAGAAGGAAGAACAATCTAACAATATTAGAAAAATCATTTAAGGATGTTAGATGTGTACTACAGAAGGAAGAACAATCTAACACTATTGATTCTATCAAGCTGAAATTTTGAAAAGTTCAAATTTTTTATTTTGGGTTGATTAGGGTGCTAATGCTAAAAAGATACACAACAGCAGACTACAAACGAACCAAGCAAGATCCAATGACATCAGCCAAAAGGAAAAAGAGAACAATGCTCTTGTCACATCTTCCTAATGTGCCCATATCTGAAATTGCAAAGGCATTTAAAATGCAAGTACACCTGGTAATGTTCAGCAAGTTTTCCCAGTTGAAATAGAACAGATTGTTAACACTTCTGTGGTGGGCTAATAATAGAAAAACATATGATAGTTTATGATGGTGTAAGATCAAGTGACTTACACCCAAGTTGTTATTTTCTTTTACATTCAATTCCTTTCTTGCCCATTAAACTATTATTACATACACAACTTGTGTGCGTGTTTCTCTTTTTAAAACCATTGGGAATTTAATATTTCTCATTAGTTAGGAAGAACAGTGCAGTTAGGTAACCGGGGAAAAAGCTCATGAAAAAGATGGATGCAATCACAACTTACCTAGAAGCTTTATCAGAGGAAACTATCACGCAACTCTTTATGTTTGAGTCATCTGAACCTGCGGTTAGAAGCTTATCAGAATTTCACAAAATAAACTATTTAAAAAACATACAGAGTTGGAGAACAAATAAGATTTTGAAAATTTTCAAAGAATCGGCAAGCACTGGATGAAAATCTAAAATTCACAGTATGTCATTACACATAAGTATAAACAGAATTATGCAACCTTAGATTGGGGAACATTAGAAAAGAGGTTGTACTCTGTAAAGCTGGCATAAGGTTTTATTGTTAAGTTGAGTTTCTGTATAACAGTACCACAACAGAAATGCCCCAATACTACCATTGATAGTCATTACATTAACCATCTTAGATCCATCCAAAGTTCCTGTCTTATACAGTTGCATTTTAGGAAAAGCTTCAATGTAGCTGATTATATAAATCCAACATTAATATTGAAGCTGATTCTGTTGCTCACAAATACATAGCATAGATATTGCGCAGTATCCTACAAAGGGATTTGCATCCTACACGGCCATATAGGTAAACTTTTATAAATCACCCTAAACTACTAGTAAATGACAACACAGTAGCTGTTCTTGACCCACTATGAAGGCCACTCTTGAACTAAAAGATAAACAGTAATATTTTCTTTTTCAAAAATGTAAATCGACTTTGCAGAACAATAATAGAACATGAAATACCTTCAATTAAAGGACTAGTTGTTTCATTAGGTTCCAAAAACTTTCTTGATTCAACAGGAGCAAAACCTAAAGTTACCAGTTGCGTTAAAGGTTAAAAAAATGAGAACATAAGCTTCTTTATCTCAGATGATGCATCATAGATTCACAACAAAACAGACAAAAAAATGCACCTTTCAACTGCAATGGATTCATCGCAAAAGCCAAGACAGCAAATGGAAGCATACAAAATGCCTCTCCCCAGAATGCATATCGCCAACTGAAATTGTCTCCCACCTAAACATTGAGCCAAAGCAAAACATCATTATGCTGAGATATCTCCCACAATATAAAATCACCACAATACACAAGGATGCTACCAATAGAGAAATAAAATTACCATAACTGATAAAAAATGATAGTACACCAAAACAAGCTCACTGTATTAGCTTCTAAATTATGGTTACACTAAAATTTGTAAAAGCACCAACACCACTAATAAATACACTCGTAAAAGACCATTTCTGAAATAATACTTGCTAAGTTAAAAATAAAATTAGGTTTATATACGAACAGCAATTCAGAAACTACTCCATGCAGGATAACATCCACAAGATATATTTGGTTTGTATGGTAGACTGAACGCTCTTCCATGCCCATAGCCAAGAACACATTTTGAAATTTCACAAATTGCAGTGAAAATCAGTTGCCTTTACATGGCACTCAGAA